ATTCTATTCTATTCTATTCTATTCTATTCTATTCTATTCTATTCTATTCTATTCTATTGACAGCATTTTTATAAAATAATGTCCATTTGGAAAGCACAGTGGGACTGATACATAAACTTTAACAAAACCATGTGTTTGTGGAAAATAATTGTACAGAAAAAGGTTTAAGAAATGAACTGATATAGAAACTACAGCAGCTGTTCCTGTACGTCTTTTGAAGTATAAGAACAATCTCCTAAAAAAATGCATGTTGGGAAAACTGCTAATAATGTTATTGTTGTAAATTTGATGTGCCGTACTTGTGTTTCCTTTAGTAATACCAGCTGTACCTGTTGTTGTTCAAAATAAAACAATGGAGTCTCCAGCATTCAAGACAATAATACACTGGAAAAGGCAAACAGCAATCAATGAGACATATTGTGAGGAGCGATATAAGGAGACAATAAGTGAAACTTGGCATGTGAGATATTGGCTTTCTTCCTTCTTCTAATTAGCAGTGAAGTTTTTTTTATTGATCATTCCATTTCATAATTCAGTTGGAGGATAATAATTTTGTAGGCTCAGTGTTTTGGTTTTGTGGCAAAACATTTCCTCCACACGCATGGTTCACATTGTACATTTCTGTATTTCTCTAAAATAAATTTAACTTCATTATATATGCAGTAGGAGCTTTTGTCCAAATATTCCCTTCACAAGAATTACAGAAGTCTTCAGATTTATGAAAGTTGGCAAAGCAATGGATCCTGGCAGTTAATAGTAACTATCCTTAGTCTGGTTCATTTTTTAAAATGGTTAATAAGTTGTGTGTGTGTGTGTGTGTGTGTGTGTGTGTGTGTGTGAAATGCTTGTAGAGATATTTGAAACGAAACATGTGTGTGTGCATGTGGATGGATGAGTGGTTGTTTGAAATACCTTAAATATTTAGAAGTGCTACAGCAGGAGTGTCAAAGTCACATCATCATGGTGGCGGTATGTAACATATCTGGACTTTTTCTCCATTCGCTAAACCGGGTGTGGGCATGGCCAGCATGTGACACAGCCAGCCTGCGGGCCGGGAATTTGACAGCCCTGAGCTACAGTATACAAATATATAGAAAAATATATAGAAATGTATATTTCCTGTACTCCAGAAAGAGCAATAAGCAAAGCAACACATAATTAAACTTGTTTCCACATGCATATAATCCAAATTTATAGCTTTTCGCTCTTTGGTACTACAAAGATAAGTTTACCTTTTTAAAAATAACATAAAAAAATCACCAAACAATTAAGGTTCACATTAGAACCATCCATATACAGTTTGTCAAAACAGCTTTCATCAACTTAGTATCCACCGCTGTTTTAGGACTTCATAATCCATAATCCTTTTAACTGCTAGATGATTTTGTTATTGTGGCAGGATATAAATGCAATCAATCAATAATCATATCCTTGGCCATGAGGAATGGAGATTATAGACACTGTAGTTCATCATGCTTGAAAGACTATCAGGAGGGCAAAGTTGACAACAATTTGTGACCCATGATCAGGGGTTTCTACCGGTTCTGTCCACCTCTGTAGAACCGGTAGCTCTGAAGAGCAGAAGACACAGAACTGGTTCTATGTCTGCTGATGTTTTTGCCCACCCGCCCACCAGGGCTCTTACCTGATTTTTATTTCCTGATTTTTCAACTTCAGCCACCAAACAAGCCACAGATGCAGTTAAAAAAACAAGGGCTGTTTCAAAGGCTGCTTCTCGGCAGCAGCAGTGGCAGCAACATGCTAATGATGTGCTAATGACGATTGACAGGTGCGCAGCTCACAGTGGGCAGGGAAGCTTGTAAATCCCGAACCGGTTGTTAATCCTGTCATATCCCACCCCTGCCAATGATCCTTTTGGTGAATTACAAGTGCTTATTGTTCCATACTAGCAGGCTTGTAGGCCTGCATTCCTATTGGTCTGGAAAAGCCGGGCCGTGATTGGACAGAACTAAGCGTTCTGATTGGTTCTTATTCGGCTGTCGTGATTGGGTAAAACCAAGCGCAGCAGGCTCAAATGCATGTCATAGGCTGCCTAGCCACAGCCAGCTCTATAAAAGGAGCTGCCTCAGCGGGGAGTCTTGTCTCAGTATCTGGTTTCCTGATAAAGAGCTGTTGTCACTATTTCGAGTCTTGTCTTTCCTTGGGACCCACCGCCCAGACTTAACACTTATTCTTTGGTATAGTCCCTGCTATATGGTTTGAAAAGATTTTATGTTATAAAAAGATAAATCCAGCCAGTGTCTCCCATTTTTTTATAGATATACAATTGAGGAATGAATTTGTTAATACAATTGAAAGAATGCCACACACGCCTATATATTCTTAGATTTCAATACAGTATGCAACTCTTAGACTGGCTGAGTTGAATGCATGGCTATTCTACGAATGAACAGGCTGATGTAGAAAACTGATGGTGCTGGAATGCAGTAGATCTTCCTTTACCCAGCCTGTGATGACTCTTCTTTCTCCAGAAAGTGTTATCATCTCCAGAGCAACAAACTAGGAGTCACAGGGAACATGTGGGGGTCCATAGGCAAGGGGGTAAATGACTAAACAAGTTTCACATCATGACTAAACAACAACTAACATACTCAGATCATGGGACAAATGTAGAAAAAAAAGAGTTCACGTGGTGTTGTCACTTTTGATGCTATCTCAGTTTGTTATAGATAAATACGTTTTCCTCCCTCTAACGTGAGCAAAATGTCACAGAGTAGGAAGGAGATATTTATTATCTATACATTTTATTTTTAGAACATTAAATATTTACATGGCTGTAAATGTAACAGAAAGATTGTTTTAAGCCTTTCTTCTAGCACTACTTTAATTTAAATTGATGTTCTTTCTCGGATAATTCCAACACAGAGTGAGTAAACATCATTGCTCCCATTAAATTCAGGTACATTATCTTAATCAAAATGTTGAGAGATCCAGTGATGTAGATATAGTTTGGGACTGAACTTCAGAAACTTCTGAGTTTCTACTGAGTGTTACTATCCAAACATGATTTTGAGGCAAAAGTAGGTCCCACTAAGTATAATAAACAGAAATATTTCCAAATGCAGCTAAAATAATTTTTATTGCCATCTAAGTCATATACATCTAGAATCTAACATTATCACCTATATTGCTGTTTTTAATCTCCCTGTTTTGAGGATGCTGGCCCTGAGAATGCTCTATTTCTATTTGATTTATTCAATTATCGCTAATTTTAAAAAGGAGAAGGTGGCCATTAGGCAAAAGAAGCTACAACAGTAAATCATATATGAAAACAGAAATCAGTTGGCTGAGATTAGAAGAGTGAAAAAATTGGATTTTACTGTTTCTCTGTTTTAGGTGAGAGTCTGGGATGCTAATTTAAGAAATGAAGTTAACACCGAGTACAACTTAGATGCAAATACAAAGTATGAGTTTCAAATCAGATGCAAACTAACTCACCCCAGTAGCTTGTGGAGCAGATGGACTGAATCTACAATATATATTACTCCAGAGAAAGGTGAGTTTCACTGCTTTTTCTTAAAACATCTTTTTCAAGTTAAAAAAATATCCACAGAGAATGGGTGAAGAATTGAAGCTGCCATAAAACAGCTAATAACAGGTTTCTCAATATTTTCAGCAAAAAGACAGACTAGAAAATATACTCAGCAAAAGGAAATTGTCACTCAGGAACTGGAATACTAGATTACATCTTTTTGCTCTTGTTTCCTGTATTATTTTCATCAGGTTATATATAAACATAGCACTGTAGTCTTTATGAATTTGAGATGTCTGTGGAAAATGCATGCATGGAAGATTAACCCTATCATTTTCCAGCCATGTGGGCTAGAAATTCGTTTGCAATCAAAAGGATTGGCCACTTCTGCCCCTCAGGTAGTAGCAGATTTCTCACTAATGTTTTTTTGGTCTTCTTTCAGCTTTTACATGTAGTTCTCAACTTATGGTCATAATGGAGTTGGAATTTCCACTGTAAGTCATGATGGTCATAAATTGAGGCACCCACATAACTGAGGGAATTTTTTGAGGCACTTGTTAAGCGAATATTAAGCAAATGTCATTAAGCAAATGTTGGTCATTAAGAAAATGCCACAAGTATTAAGTGGGTACCCTGGCCGTTAAGTGAAGACCTGCCCAGCATGGATGCATTCCCACAGACTTTTTTTTTTTTTTGCCAGAAATCGACTTAAAAGGCTGATTTCCAGCAACAATGTTACAAATTGCCATCACATGACACAGTGGAATGCTGTAACCACCATAAGGTTGCCAAATACATGTAACTGTGCAGGAGGATGTGCTATCATCAGAACACTGTAACTGGGTCGCAAGTACCTTTTGGGGGACATATTATTAATTAGTCATTAAGTGAGGACTACCTGTATATGCAGATACTGGGGCTGTTGTGGTTTGCCGGCAGCAAGTGGGGATGGCTGAGGTCTTGGAGAGCGAGGACTCAGATGAGGGGCCTGCGTGTGAGGCAGGGATGGGGCCAGGGCCATCAGGGAGTAGAATGCTGCCTTCGGAGATTGTGGAGGCTGGCAGCAGTGATGAAGAGGTCCCCGAGGAGCCTGCGCCCAGTGTGCATGCACGCAGGGCTGCTCGAAGGAAAGAGCAGCTGCAGCAGCATGGGCGACTTGGGAGTAAGGCTGTAAGGTAATGGCTCCTCCCGGAGAAGACAAAAGCCAGCTGAGAAACCGGAGTTCTTTGCAGAAGGCAAAGAAGTTTGATACTTGAGCCTGGTGGACGTTAGAATATCTACGTTGGTGTTTGGAGATTCTTTGATTTATTGTTTAGGAACTTTATCTGTTGTTCTTGGCAGCCTTGCAAAAACTTAGCAAGGCTCTTTCTTGTTGGAGCTAATTAGTTGGAAGCAGCCTTTTAGCTGTGAAGAAACAGGATTCGTAAATGAAACATTAAAAGGTTGTGCTGCTACCTTTGTCTTGTGTTTGTTCTCTTGGAAGCAGGTTTGGGTCAGAACAGGGGCAGCCTTAAACTCCATTTTCCCATACTTAATTAGCTGGAAATTAAAAAGCCCATTGAAGACATTATTGTCAATCCATTTTTCAGCGTTAGCATCCATGCTGGGCAGGTCTTCATTCTAGATGGCAGATACAACATCTTCCTTATTCCTTATAACTTTGCTGGGGAAAGCAGTAGACTTATATACCACTTCACAGTGCTTTACAGCCCACTCTAAGCAGTTCATTGAATCAGCCTATTGCCCCCAACAATCTGGGTCCTCATTTTACCGACCTCGGAAGGACAAAAGGCTGAGTCAACCTTGAGCCAATGAGAATTGAACTGCCGAACTGCAGGCAGCCAGCACTGTGCCACGACGGCTCTATCAATCATTTCCTTTTACACAGGCAGTCTTTGGGGACATGCATTTCCCATTAACAGTGCTTTTGCATAAGATTCCTCCTGTTAATCTCCTCCTCAATGCTTTCTCATTCCCCTTATCTGCCACTAAATAGGTAAATGTGGTAGCAAGGACACCTCTACCCTGCTTTTTGCTGCAGTGCTTAAGCAAGAGTTAATTGGCAAAGCCCTCATCAATTTCATCTGGTTTAAAAAAAAAAAGGAAGGAAGGAAGGAAGGAAGGAAGGAAGGAAGGACCATGCTTTCACAGGTTAATTTGTTAAAGAAAAAGTCTACTTTTTCAACAGTCCTCCACTGAAGTTGAGGGCAAAAGTCCAGAATTTTGCCCCCCGTCCACAGTGGGAGTATTCTTTTAGAAGGAACAGGAAGCTTTCCATGAGAAGGCCATGGAAGATAGCAACCAATGACCAGACAGATGGGTCTTCTTCCTATGTTGTACAATAGCCAACTGGAAGAGAAAGATTTGCCTAGAAACAAAGGAAGCTCAACCATACATGTCTTGAGCTGGCAGAAGTTGTAAAACATTTTTGTTACAAACCCCCAAAACTTTAACCTTAAACTCAGTGGTGGGATTCAAATTTTTTTACTGCTGGTTCTGTGGGCGTGGCTTGGTGGGCATGGCAGGGGAAGGATACTGTAAAATTTCCAGTCAGAGGTGATATTTGCTGGTTCTTTGAACTACTCAAAATTTCTGCTACTGGTTCTCCAGAACTGGTCAGAACCTGCTGAATACCACCTCTGCTTAAACTGTCTACTGTGGACCTCACTCCATTCCTAAGAGGTCTGGAAGGGGGTGTGCATAAGCACACCAGCATACCTATCGTCCCTGTCCTACTGTTCCCATTTACTGTTCTCACTTATTATGTATATACTTATACCTGTTTATACTTATATGTTCATATGTTATGTTCATACTTATACTTGTTTTCTCATACGTGCTAGACAAACTAAAATAAATAAATAAATTATTTTTGAAATGGAGTAAGGAAGAAAGGGTGAAGGTTGCCCCATGCTCTAAGGAGAAACTTTCTAACCTCAGTAAGAAATACAACATATTGAGATATAACTCTGGTTAGCCCACAGTTTCATTCTTTTTTTGTCAACATCAGATAAAAGTTTAGCATTGTACAGGAAGCCATATGATCAGAGAATTAGCGACCCCTGCTGTCAGAACTGGGTTCTGAGTAAGAAAAAAAATATGTTTGTTTTCCCGTTCAAGAGTCTTTTAGCACATTTGTTTTAGCAAGCCTCCTTTCCCTTTGGTAGCTACATTCTGATCTGAAATTCATCAAGTGAATCCTTTCCCATTATTGTAATTTCCAATTAAAACTGTCATTTCCTGAATGTATTAATGCTCACGGGTGTCAAACTCTCTGTATCACGTTGCCATCACATGATGTTTCATTACATTTTTTTCCCCTTCGTGTAACTGGGGTGGGTGTGGCCTGTGCATGACGCAACCGGCCCTCAGGCCACCAGTTTGACACCCCTTCTATAATTAGCTATTGGAAGCCTTTATTAGGCAAAATCAGGCAGCTTTGTTGATTCTTTTTTATTGTTATACAGTTCTTGTGATTCTGTTCTCATTGTCAGGAAGAGGAGAGAAATAGTGATATGTTCAAATAATTTAAAAGTTTCCCACAACAGTACTAACACACAACATACTTATATAAAGTTAACTCAGTTACCATTACATCATTAAACCATTTTCTCTGAATTACATATTGAACCACATTGAACCAGAAAGCGCTAACAGTAACTGAGTCCACATAATACACTAAACTTAAATGTGATTGACTAGATTGTAATTCCATATGTCTGATGACTAATGCCTGCCTTTTATGTTTCAACTGGAAGTGTGAACTTGGGTTGATAAAGCAGCATCTAATAGCTACTTACTGATCTGTTACATAATTTATTAGTAATTACTAATAAATGAGCCACAGTGATGCAGTGGTTAAAGTGCAGTAGTGCAGGCTACTTCTGCTGCCTGCCAGCTGCCTGCAATTTGGCAGTTTGAATCTCACTAGCCTCAAGGTTGACTCAGCCTTCCCTCCTTGCAAGATTGGTAAAATGAGGATCCAAATTGTTGGGGCCTTTATGCTGACTCTATAAACCACTTAGAGAGGGCTGTAAAGCACTGTAAAGCGGTATATAAATCTAATGCTATTGCTACTGGATATTAGTAATAAGTACTATCTTGCTTATGGATAGATAGAAACTCAGTTATAGGTAGTTTTCCTCTCCAGCAAGTTGGCAGAGAAGCTGTCACTCTCCATATGTAATTGAATTACAACTCCAAGGGCATTCAAACAATACAGGCTCAGTGAGTGATATTGCAGGCTATGATTCAGCAACCGTTCTAGAAAGAAATGAAGAAAGCATCAGTCAGTTTACCATTGATTGGAAAATGGAAATGTGGCCATCCCATAGATTACAAGTATGTGGTTATACCTTCTTCAGCTCTTGAAGTGAAAGCTATTTGCTATAATATAGTACCCTCCTATACAATATAGTACTGTAGTAGCTTCCTACACTATCTTTCCAAAATCAACATACTCTCATTTTCCGTGCTTCCTTATTAGCTTTTAAAATCTATTTTTAAACATAGTTCATTTGCTCCATTATTATAATTATTCCTGTGTAAGAGTAATGCTATAATAGAAGTCATTTTATATATTTTTGTCATCTGTTTCAGTGCTGGGTTCAAATGTTTTTACTACAAGTTCTGTGGGCATGGCTTGGTAGGTGTGGCAGCGGAAGGATACTGTAAAATCTCCAGTCTATTTGCCGGTTCTCCGAACTCCTCAAAATTTCCGCTATCCAGAACTGGTCAGAACCTGCTGAATACCACCTCTGATCTGTTTCTCTCCTCTTTTTAAATACAGAACCAGCTGCGGTACTTGATGTATGGAGGAAATTCGGGCCAGTTTATCCCAATGGTACCCAAGAGATGACAGTCTTGATCAAGGTGAACAAACACAATTTTTTAAAAATAGAGATTACCATTATCAAATAAAAACCAGGTGCCACTGTGAGAGTGTAGGTCAAAAAAGTCCAGAGGGAAGATTTGACCACACATTCAAATCTTTTAAATCTTTGTTGGCTATGCAATGCACATTAAAAAGGGGTGAAGACTGCTTTACAGGTTGCAGTCTGGAGCAAACCTGATCTGTTTTTATCAGTGGTTTCAAAGGATTAAGAGAGAAGGGCTGGATTAATAATCTAAACTAGCTATGGGAAGGGGCATTGGGCAAGGCTGTAATCTCTTCTCCTGCTTCTGTGAAAAACAGTGGAAAATATATCTGGGCCAGATGAGGATATAGCTGGTTTTTCTCCTGGTTAACTACCTGAGAGAAAGGCAGTTGGAAGATAATGTATGGGATAGAGTTGGATGTCTAGTGTCATATGGGCAGTTGCCCACGTAGCAGATGTTGGGTGCTAAGCAGAACAACCATAATGTGTGGGGATGTTTATCATTGTTGTGGTCCACCGGCAGCCTGCAGAGAGGGCAGCAGAATCGGACAGTGGGGAAGAACAGGGACCAGTCCGGGAGTCTGGGGAGGAAGTTGGTCCTGCGTCCGATACAGAGATGGGCCATGGCTAACTGGGAGTTATGTGCTGACTCCGGAGCCTCCAAAATCTGACAACAGCAAGGCAGAGGAACAAGGGGAGCCTATTCCCAGTGCATGTGTAGGCAGAGCTGCCAGAAGGCAAGAGTAGTTAAGACAAAAGGGGTGACTTGGGAGTAAGGCTTGGAAGTGATTGCCCCTCCCATAAGATATAAAGGAAGGGCAAAGGAACATCTGCAAAGCCACTGTGAAGACTATTCTAAGCATTTAATGGATATGCGATGACCCGGGGTGTGGCATAAATGCAACACAGTCAAATAAGCAAGAAGAGTTCCTTTATTATCTCCAACTTTGCCCCCAATGTCCAGGTTACCTTTGGCTGGAGAAAAATTCTCCCAGGAACAGTCTTTAAGTGGACAGCTCCTTTTATAGCTGGCTGTCAAACGGCATCAGCCAATGGGAGCGATCGGCGCTCCCGCCAGAACTGCGGACCAGAGTGGGGACTTCGGTCAGTTCTGTGAATGCAACACATACAAAATGTAACTAAAAATCTAAACAAACCACTCTGCAGTAATTAACTTGACAGGGCAAGAGAAGGAATTGCAGACTTGAAAGCACAGCAAAACACACACAGTTGGGAAGACACCAGGAACACAGATAAGCCTAAACAATACCAGATAATTCCCGATTTGCTCCCAACAACTTGCTGTGCACAGCTTCCCTTTTTAAACAACGTGTTCCCAGCTGCAGCTAATGAAGGGAATCAGGGCCTTTTCCTCCCCTGTAAGCCACGCAACTCACGTTGCTCCATTCTCTGTTCCTCCCTGCATGCCCTAGGATGAAGAGGGGGTGGGCCTGAGTCTTCCTCTGAATTCCCTCTCCCTTGCTCTACTTCTCCCCTGTTCTGTCCAGCCGGACTGTGCCCTTCCCCAGTTTCTTCCACAGCCAATGGAGCCACACGCCCACTCCCTGTCAGCTGTTCGGCCTCCCCCTCCGAATCAGATTCCAACAGAGGCATGACAGGATAACATCTCTCAGATTTATGCCTGGAATTTGATTGGGATGGTTCTATGGAATAGAAGAGTATAAATATAAATGGATAGAAATGAAGTATGGTATACAGTCTTGCTTGGTTATCTAGGGATAGTTCCAAACTGTAGATTCTGAAGAAATGAACATAGGATGTGGCCACCTTTGTTTTAAATCCAAGTCCTTCCTTGCAGATAAAGGCCCTGCCAGTAATGATGAGGTTGGACATAGAGAAGGCTTCTTTGTAGAAGGAAAAGTTCCACCTGCTTTGAAACAACTGGACTTATCCATATTTAGAAGTTTTTTTCTTTTCACTTGATTTTGAGAACATTTCAAACTTTTAAAAAAATTCTGCTTGAGGATACAATTTGTAGAGGTGAAATGGCAGAGAGTAAAATGCTTAAATGGCACCCTACTTTTTTTGTTTGATTATGGTTAATTCTTCATGAATCCTTTCAAATGCTATTGTTACCACTGGTGGGTGGCATTTCAGGTGTAATTTAGCCCTCCTGAGCAGCTGTTAGTTCAGTCTTTTTTTTCCTTTGGATTTCACATTTCTGCAACTTTTTGAACATTGCAGGCACAAATAATAAAATATTAGTTTTTGCGGTTCTCTAAAGTCAATTCTGCATTTCTCTAGCCGCTGTCTCCAAAGGAAAGCAGAGGAAAAATTCTGAACTATAGAATATTTTATGAAAAACAAGGAGAGAAGGTGGATTTATGTAAAACAACAGAACTACATTGCAAAGTGATGTTGCCTCCAGCAGTGACCATTATTTATGTGACAGCACACAATTCCAAAGGAAGTTCCAAACCTGCAAATATTATAGTGAAACAACCGCCTCACAATTACCAAGGTAAGATACCACAAAGCAGGTAAACTTTTTCAGAAATTGGTACTGTGTTATATTATGTTAGATAATAAGCCACCCAGAATCCTCTGGAATACATTTTTTTAAAAATGTAATAATACATAATACATAATACATTTTTTTAAAAAGATATAAAATGGAGTGGAATATCTTACTGAGGACTTCCTAACATTATTGCCATGCTTATTTATGTCCCTGTTGTAATATATTACTATTTAATAATAGTGACTTAACTATCATAATTGGAACCAGAATTTCCATTGTTAAGTAACACAGTTGTTAAATGAATTGCATCAGAGGTGGTATTCAGCAGGTTCTGACCAGTTCTGGAGAATCGGTAGTGGAAATTTTGAGTAGTTTGGAGAAGTGGCAAATACTGACTGGCCCCACCTCCATCTATTCTATGCCTCCCGAGTCCCAGCTGATTGGCTGGGTCTTCTTTTGTTGCCCTGCACAGGAGAACAGAGCTGGAAAGCAGGTTAGTGGGGTGGGGAGGGAATGGAGATTTTGCAGTAACCTTCCCCTGCCAAGCCCGCCAAGCCATGCCACACCCACCAAGCCATGCCCACAGAACCGGTAGTAAAAAAAATTGAATCCCACCACTGAATTGCATGCAATTTTGCAATCTTTTTTGCCACAGTTGTTAAGCAGATCACCGTAGTTAACTGAATAAGCAGATCAGGTTTACCCCATTGACTTTGCTTGCCAGAAGCTGACTGGGAAGGTGATAAATGGTGACCACATGACCCTGGGACACTGCCAGGGTTATAAATACATGATTGTGGCCAAGTGCCCACATTTTGATCACATGACAGTCATAAGTGCCATTGTAAATGACAATGGTCGCCTGTAAATAATTATACATTTTGAATTCTGCCATCTGCAGATTGAAGCTATTAAGTTAATTCATACAGATTACTTCCTTCCACTATGACTATAGCTGCAATGTACAAATATGCTTATTTACATATGCCCAAATTTTCAGAGACACCCAGTTGAAAAATGTAGAATTCCAATGCAGGCATAAATATTATAGCAGGAAATTGGGATCTAAAATATATTTTTAAAAGATTAGCTTCTTGTCATTGTGATTATTAAAACATTATCTATATAAAAGTGTGCCTGCTAAATTTCAGGTCGCAAATGAGTTAATAGCCATAAGACTGTTTTAGAAATATCCCTTTACCGTGCAGCCTTTAGTAGTCAGACTGGTATTTTTATCATTTCCGCACTCTTAAGAACTACAGTTGCATAGCACAGGTCTGTGTCTTCTCTATTGACTAGTTTTCCTACAATGCCCTCTACAGGTTGAATCTAAATATGACATTCTTAGAAACATTTCAAAAAACAATTCTTTAAAGAGTGCTCCTAACAGAAACAATATTTTTTTAAAATCATATCTTTTCAGCCCTTATTCTTAACACTGGTACACCACAGGGTTGTGTGTTGAGTCTCTTACTCCATATTATTTATATGCATGACTGCATTCTCACTCCCGCTAGTAATACTATTATTAAATTTGCAGATGATACAACAGTGGTGGGACTCATCTCCAGGGTGGGGGGATGACTGGTTGCTTTCATGATATGGAGACAATAACTTGGTCCTTAACACCAATAAGACCAAGGAGCGTATAATGGACTATAGAAGGAATAGATCAAACATCCAGCCCTTGCTTATCAATGGAGGCTGAGTGGAGCAAGTGGCCAGTTTTAAGTTTCTGGGTGTTACCATAAAAGGGGACCTGACCTGGGGTGCTCACATTGCAGGACTGGTCAAAAGGACCCAGCAGAGATTATACTACCTGAGACTTCACAGAAAACAACAACTGAATGAAAAAATGCTGGTGACCTACCGCAGCACCATAGAGAGTATCTTAACTTACTGCACCTCTGTATGGTTTGCCTATTGCACAGGGGCAGATAGGACAGCACTCCAGAGGGTTAACGTCATTGCCCAGAAGATCATTGGTTGCCCTCTCCCCTCTTTGCAAGAGCTTTATAGCTCCCACTGCCTTAGGAAAGTTCAAAACATTCTCAAAGATCCATCTCATCCTGGGAACCCCCCTTTTTTTTTGAACTATTACCATCTGGCAGATGGTACAGAATAATAAAAACAAGCACAAATAGGCTGAAAAACAGCTTCTATCCCAGATCAGTAGCTCTCTTGAATTCCGCTGTATAGTGCAATATTAATGCAATATTGGGGTTTTCAACTCAATGTAAAGAATGTGAAGGATGTGTGTTTGTGTTTATTTTCATAGTCATAATGTACACTGAAGATGGTATTTAATTTCATTGTACGAAGTGCAATGACAATAAACTAAACTAAACTTTCAACCTAGTTATTCAGCTCCCACAGCTTCTGAAAATATACACAAAACTCATTAAATCCAATCCCAATGGATGGTTTGCACTGGAATATATGAAGCCAACCTTTACAGTTTTAGGAAGAATGCGCAGAGAAATTTTGCCACAGAGGAAAACACCACAGGAAACAGTTTCACCAAACTTATTTCACTTTGTGTATTACAATAGAGAATGAGCAGTCCATCAAATGGAGTCATAATTTCTTTTAGCACTGGCTTGTTGAATATTAGTGCTGCATACAATACATGTATACCCATGTCTTATTTTCTTTTAGAAAATGCTACAGAATGCAGAGTTTTAATTTTTGGCTTAAAGCATTGTGTGTCGGTGTGTTATTTGGCCCTTAGCCTTTAAAGAGGCAATGTGTGCCGGAATGTGTCTATGAAGCAGAATTGTTGTGATGGACTATAGTAATGCAGCAAATTCCCAGGAAGGAGGGAGCAGATTCCAAAGCGGGGGGCAAGATAAGAGACAGCAAAGCTCAGAACTGCATTATGGGAAGACGAAGAGATTGAAGATAGCCACTACCTACAATTCTCCAGAGTACATCCATTAGGTTAGGGTAGTATAGGTTTAGTCTGGCAAGATTCTGTCTATATGGTACATGCAAATAAAGATCTGAACTTTGTTTGAACGATGTTACATCATTTTGGGGGTAGGCCTGACAGACTTTTCATTTATCTTGATTGCAACTGACATCTCCACATGTACAAAAAAAATCTTAGTAACTACTAAAATTCTCCAATCTTCCATAATGTCTGAGATGGAAATCAATATATGTGGAGTCGCCACATAACAGAGACAAATCTATATATTGTTCACAAATGTGAAGAGCATTTCTAATGATGTCAATGCAATCGTTTTGAATGATGTCAGTATATAGTTATGGAAATACGCAGTAACAAAAATGATATGATGACATATAACCCCATCTGTTTTTCCCCATAGCTTTCCCACCCCCTACTCATATTCAAATATTCACTGAAAAACAGAAAGGAATTTCTGTTAAATGGGAACCTCCTAAGTCTATTGGAAAAACACTTTTATGGTACATAGTGGAATGGGTGTCTGCAAACTTCAATCATTTGCATCATAATCTTGTTGCATGGAAGAAAGTCCCTTTCCAAAATACATCAACTTCTATTGAAGGTAAGGTACCAGTCAATTCTTTTGGTGTCTTCGCAATAAATATGAAAGATGGATATGTATATTAGTCAGTGTAGGTAGTCCTCAACTTACAACAGTTCATTGAGTGACTGTTCAAAGTTACAATGGCACAGAAAAAAGTGACTTATGACCATTTTTCACACTTACGACCATTGCAGCATCCTGATGGCCACTTGGCAACTGACTCATACTTATGGGGATTATGGTCTCCCAGGGTAATGTGGTCTCCTTTTTGCGACCATCTGACAAACAAAGCCAGTGAGGAAGCCAGATTCACTTAAGAACTCCCTTACTAACTTGACAATGGCAGCGATTAACTTAGCAAGTGTGGCAGGAAAGGTCGTAAAATGAGGCAAAATCTACGGAACAAATGTCTGTTCTGTTAGCAACAGAAAATTTACTGATTTAAAAAATGCTACTAAGATCATAAGAACATCATGGGAATTATGCTGGGTGAGACTAAAAGCCATCATTCATTTCTCACAGCAAGTAAGCCAATATGTACAACGCATACAATTGAGTCTTTCCATTCAAGGTTCTCTGCACTGAGAGCCTCTGACTTGGTATTCAGGGACATCTGGAGGGAACAGATGGCTGTCATAAGTATTATCATCAATTGTCTTATCCTCCATGAATTTGCCTGCTTGGCTTTTACAGCTACCCCAGTAGTTTGCATGGATGAATACAGCTATTGTGTGAACCTAGTGAAAGAGACCTATTTAGACCCCACTTGAATGGGAAGTAAATGTAATTGTGAAAAGCATTTACAGAATGGATGTTCCTTGTTAATGCTTGTTGCTGTGTTTTGCTCGTATAAAATGGTTAAATCATGATTTCCTTCTTAGAGGAAGGTTCTATTGAGGATGATGATTCCTTTTAAGAGTATGTATTAGAACCAAGATTCCCTAAAAACTATGTGCCATTTTAAACTTCCCCTTCACAGAAGGCATCAGAATGGGAGACAGCGCTGCCATTTCAGTATACGCTGTGTATCAGAAAGGCATCAGCCGAGCCAGCTCTATCCAGAGTGAGTAAAACTCAAGCAGAGAGATTGTAAAAGATGAATGATAGTTACTGATACAGAAAATTTCCAGCTATGTGATGTCCAAACCATAGGTTTCTGTCATCTGGGTGTGTAATCTATAGATTGTGCATGTGTGTGAGTTCCTTTGAGTCGATCTTTTCTCTGGATCGGGGTGTCAAACTCAAGGCCCATGGTAGGATCTAGCCCACAGGGTGCTTAAATCTGGCCCACGGAACTGGCTTGGAAATAACAAAAGACCAGCCCATGGTGCTTCCGGCAGCCAAAATGGGGCGTGGGAGGATGCATGCAACTCTCCCCACACCCTCTATTTGATCTGGATGGCCTCCTGCAGCATTCTGCCAGCCAAAATTGTGGGGGGGGGGGGGGGGCACAGAGAAGAAAAATGCTGATCCAGTCCTCGAAGAAATCCAGTTTGACACCCCTGCTCTAAATGATATTTGGAAGTGGTTTGACATTGACTCCGCCCTAGGGATCAGACTGAATGACTATCCCAAAGTCACGCACTCGGCCTGATGCCTAAGGAAATACTAGAACTCACAGTCACTCAGTTTCTAGCCTGCCATAAGCAGCTGCGCCAAACCAGTTCTCTACAGATGGAACAAAAAAAACACACCGCCACTCATCCAAAATAGCATTTTATTTCTAAGACTTGTTCTAAAACTGGGTCTTATCCCAAAAAAGGATTTTGCATTCAAAATCTTAATGTTCCACTATCCCCAAGCAGCAAGCATGAAAGCATTTGAAACTAAATTCAAGTCCGTTTTTTTTTAAACGTCATCCAGAAAGCAGATTTTTTGTTTGTTTGTTTTGGTGAAACATGTGTTTTCAGCTTCTCAATAATCCATGCTGGATTCATGATGTAAAGGTATATATAGGTATTGTCAAGAAAGCCAAAAGCGTTAAAAATCCCTGAGCACCACTGAAGTTTTCATCCAATCATGCAACCGAATGAAATACAGGTTAGTGGACGCAGACCTAATCTTTCAGTTTGTTGTCCTTCACCGAAGAAATGGCAAGTACAAATAGTCCTCGGCTTATAACAGCTCATTTAGTGACCGTTCCAAGCAGTAGTAGGATTCAAAACATTTTACTACCAGTTTTGTGGGCATGGCTTGGTGGGCATGGCAGGGGAAATTATTGCAAAATCCCCATTCCCTCCCCACCCCACTAACCTGCTTTCCAGCTCTGTTCTCCTGTGCAGGGCAACAAAAGAAGACTCAGCCAATCAGCTGGGACTTGGGGGGCAGAAAATAGATGGAGGCGGGGCCAGTCAGAGGTGGTATTTGCCAGTTCTCCAAACTACTCAAACTTTCTTCTACCGGTTTTCCAGAACTGGTCAGAACCTGCTGAATACCACTCTGGTTCCAAGTTACAACAGCATTGAAAAAAGTGACTTATGACCACTTTTCATACTTGCAACCATTACAGCATCCTGATGGTCATGTGATCAAAATTCAAATGCTTGGTAGCCAGTTCCTACTTATGATTGTTACTGTGTCCCAAGGTCACATGATCCCTTTTTGCAATCTTTTGACAAAGTCAATGGGGAAGCCAGATTCATTTAACAACCATGTTACTAACTTATCAACGACAATTATTTACTTAACAACTGTAGCAAGAAAGGTCATATAATGGAGCAAAACTCACTTAACAACAGAAATGTTGGGCTCGATTGTGTTCCTTAAGTCAAGGACTACCTGTAGGCAGCCTGTTTCCAGACAACAAAATAGAGAAGAAGAAGAAAAATGAATAAAATAGAAATAAAGAAGAAGAAAAATACATAAGGATGTGCAAAATCCAATTATCAGCTGCTGCCATAATAAAAAGTCAAAACAGCTATTCAGAAGCCATTCATATCATAGCTCTGGTAATGAAAAGAAACTGATACTTATAAATAAAGCTGGAAATTCTGATAAAACCATACATTTACAGTATTTTGGCACTTGTCGAAGATTCTGAAGATTGAGTTGAAAATTCATTCTCTGCCCACAAAAAAAAAATCACACTGACACTGAAAATACTGTTAAAAGGGGGGGGGGGGGGGGGGGGGGAGGTATTATGATTCAGAACTCAAACTTCAGAACTCAGTCAAGAGGACATTGTATGACTTTTGTTTGCAATATCTCTGTATTGGATGACTATAGAATTCTTTTCTTTTTTTAATAAAAAAAATATTTTAGTTCCAAAGTTAAAATACAAAACCCCAAAAGGAAAAAAGAAAAACAAAACAATTCAAAACTAGAGAAAATGTGCATAAAGACAAAGTATCAAATATACACACAGATGGTTCCCTTTGGTTGAATACTGATAAATATATTTCAACAATAATAGTTTTTCCTGCTTGCAAAACAGGACCACAATTTATAAACTTCTATATCTTTTATTTGCTAAAATACTATATAGCATTAAAAATATTACAAACATGAAAATCTACTATCAATCAAATTGCCCTACCATCTGTATATTGTAAAAGTAGACAATAATTATCAGAAGTTCCCAATTCTCAAACAAAACTATTGCAAGTCTGATTTAACTGTTATCACCTGTATCTGGGTTTCATCTTTATATTGATTTAAAACTGTTGCTAATTCATCATTATCTTTTGTCTTGATTTTCATTTGGAACTTATAAAAGTATTCCCCCCCCCCCCCAAAAAAAAAGAAAGTCATCTGGCTCCTGCCTCTCTTTTATATCTCTTTTTGGAAGCATTGTAAAAAGTATATAATATATAATGTTTGGGATCTTTTATTTATTATTGCTTTAATTTTAATATAGTCCTCGTTCCTCTTAATGGCCAAACTTCCCTAGCAAAATGCAAGCAATTTCTTCTCAAGGACAAAGAATGAAATCTTCCATAACAAAGTAAGTACAGAAGAAATTGAGAGTCCCACAGTGAAGAATAAATAGAAAATAAAAGGGGAAATTTCTATCTCTTTAAAAAGGAAAAAAAAAAGATCAGAGATATAGTAGATATACAAAAATAGAGTAAAACAACAAAGTTGTTTTAAGAACAAGTGAGATACCAAATCCTTGCGATAGAAATCTGATGTACTTCAAATCCAATCAGTTTCATTACCTAAGGGAAAGTCCTTGTGCCATCTACTGCCATGTGGCAAAAGAGAATATGTTTTTTAACTCCAAAATGAAAAAATGAAAAGTTCACTTTTGTAATCTCCCAAGGGGTTGTGAGATAATTCAGTATTCAGCCAGATATTTTAACATTAAAAATGTAGACCAAAACAAAAGAAAACTTCAAAATGATGTTAAAGTATAGATGCATCTAAAAAAAGAAACGATGACTTGAAAAGATGGAAACCAGACCCTCAAGCTACGCTTACTGAGAATCATGATCAGCTGAAATTTCTTTCCAGGCAAGTACACAGTCATCCATGGGTCATTGTGGGCTATTCCAAGTTATTAACATTCAAAATCCAGGGGTCGTGCTTTGGCAGTAAAGTCAGCTGTTTGTCAGTAGGAGAAAAAAAATTCACCCCACCGCTCAGCATTCTGGAGACTGCTAATTGCCCATAGAGTTCTGAGGGTTCAAAGGAAAAAAAGAAACATCGCAAAAAATTAAAGTGAGGTTGTGTATTCATTTAATACTGCTAGCAGTAAAATATAAAGCAAAGATTCTAGCCTTGAACCACCTGTGTTTTTCTGATGGGGTTTCATTACTATCATTGGAGAAATAGAAGCCCAAGAAAAGGACTGTTTAAGGAAGAGACACTTTATGTTGTAATGAAAGAATGTAAAAGATCTTCAAATATCCACAATAATCATGTGTAATATACAGGTAGTCCTCACTTAACAACTAAAATTGAGCCAAAAATTTTCATGGTAAATCATTGCAGTCATTATATGTGTTATGCGAAGAAAAGTGCTAGATACTTCTTTAGTGAATTTTCATTGTACAAGGGCAATTGATGCGCCCTTAAATTCTCCTTTCTGATAGATTTCATGATGAATGAAGGAACTCTTCTATCCTCTCTCATGGCGGATTCTTATACTATGTTCTTATACTTTATAAATTAAGCCCTTGTAGCAAGCTGAAAACTAATATTGTAGCAGACATTTTTCCCCAAAATGAAAATATAAGACAAATCAAGGATGGTGAATATTTTGCAGGAATGTGTTTTTGATATTTTTGGTCATGTGTTCTTGTTAAGGTTTTCTGCAATATTTAAAACTTGGCAACAGAATTTCACTTTTAAAACTCTGGCAATTTTATTTTCATCTTAACATAGCTTTGAACAAAATTTTATTTCAAGTTCAGGATGACATTTTAGTCCATTCATGTGAAAACGGAGAGAATTGGTTATGTTTAAAACTTCTTTTTGCTGCTTGAAGAAATGAAACAGTAAAAAAACCCACCTCTTTTCTGGATAGAACAATGGTTATTATTGTTGTTATACAAGTAATCCTTAAGTGACCTTACAAATCATCACTTAGTTACAATAGAGCCTGAAAATTAGACTTACAACCTGGATTTGAAGTTCCAACATCTGCCTCCATGGTTATGTAACCACATTTTGGGTGCTTGGCAACCAGCTGCTTTTATGGCTGTTTGCCATCATGTGATTGTGATTCTGATGTTTTGCCAGAAACTGGCATTCATCTGTCACTATTTATGATCAAAAATTGTGGGCTGAATTACAATTGTAAGTCAAGTGAAAATTATTGAATTGCACAGTGATAAGGTATATGGAATAACCCAGGATTAATGCTAGTTCTAACATGCTCTAGGCTTTCTCCCAAAAACAGGATCAGTAGGAAGTGTGACTGCTGGCTGGATCTTATAGTAGTGCTGTAGGTCCTGCAAGGGAGAGATTGAGTAGATGATTTGCATGCAAAGTCAATATAATAATGAATCATTCTGGTTCTGACATTACAGTGGAATTCATTCATTCTCACTTTCTTATATTTTTTTCTCTTTTCTGGGTAGCATTGATGAATGAAAAGAAAGAACTTGACATTTCCCAAGAAAGAAGTCTTGTAGTCACCAGGGGTATGAAAGAATTCTAATAATTTGGGGGAAGGGGAGATTTTCTGTCTCAGAAGTGTACGGCTTATTCAACATTATGACATTTCAAAGTGGCAGGATATGTTTATAGTATGCGCTGACATGATTCCAAGAAAATAAAACTTCAGATTGCTTACACACATTAAAGACTTAAAGATATAACCCATGATTACTCACAACTTGGAACCATTCAGATTTCATACAGACAGACAGGCAGACAGACAGTCACATACACACACACACACACACACACACACACACATATGGGCACCTCCACTATTAAATTGCCAGTCATTGACTAAATTCTTATATAGAAAATGTGTGTAGCCAGCATGATAATTAAAATGAGTACTTAGCTTGGTTTACTCTACAGCAGAGGTATCCAACCTTGGCAACTTTAAGACTTATGGGCTTCAACTCCCACAGGTCTTAGAGTTGTTAAGGTTGGACATTCCAGCTCTACAGGAAATGACAAAACTGTTTTATTTTCCAATAATTCATGACATACAGTGCTATAAAATCATCTCCCAAGCCCTCCACATAGTCATCACTACCTGAAGATCTCAAACCCTTTCAGAAAGTTGTTGCCTTGTACATATGGAATTAGAGAGCACCTCATCAGTCAATTATTGCTTATGTTTGGTCCTTTTGATTTAGCCACTCACTGAGCTAAACAGTTCTGAGTCTGCTTCAGGTTGGCCAATCACTACTGCACTACACCTAGCTCCCATCTCACCCAAGCTTATGGTGCACTGTGAATTGACAAGGGTCCCTTCACAAAGTAAAAAGAATCAAGATCAAAGTATTCTCCTACTATAGGTACGTTTGCCTGGCAATCTGCAAAATATTCTTCCCAGTAAGGTTCCATATGAACAATTGCACAGGAGCCTTGATGAGTAAAAACTGAGGCTTGTGATGGTCAGGCATAGTTAAAGGCTATTAAGCATTTATCAAGGCTAGGAAAACCCAGCTGTATATTCACTCCCAGTGAGAAGGCACCTTCAACTGTCTTTTTCTACTGGGTTGTATCATCTTCTTCGTCTGCTACCGTTCATTTAATTGTGGACAAACTCCTCTGCACCAATTGATTACTGTGTGCTTTGGCAGAAATGCCTCCTCCCTTTTGAACACTGGTTTTGATCATTTGGGGTCCTTTCTTTTACAAATTCAGCAGCAGAGTGGTGTTTTCTCCATAGCCACTGATGAAACAATGAAATTGTGGCCCTTTTTTGTTTTTTACTAGTTCACCCATGAAATAATTAAAGGGTAGACAAAAATGGGTGGTATGTGTCTTCCTCAATATTGGGCCTTCTACCTTATTTATTTATTTATTTATTGACATTTATGGAACAGTGAGGCAGGAAGCAGTCTTTCATTTGTTTGTTCATTTATTTAATTCAACTGATTAAATAATTAAACTCTTTGACAAGAGTTCCATTATTCTTCCCCTTTTGCCCAAGAAACAGGAGAAATGGTAAAGCTGTGGGAAGAGAAAGATGACAAAAAGTTCTCAATAAATGCTGACTGGGAGATGGGAAGCAGGGATAGGACATAGGTCAATCCATCAATAGGGAAAGCAGATGCCAACCGCAGAAGATGAACTTGCTAGATTCTATGTTTTATCTACCTAAAAAGTAAGGCAAGAACATGCCAACACGTTTTAGGAAAGGGGAAGGAATTGGAGCTGTAGAAAAGTTACTTTGCAAGAGCACTTTTGAACTGGTGCAAAGAAAGATGGGTGGAGACTGCCTTTCTGGTGGTGGAGGATGGATTGAGGCAATGTTGGGATTCAGCCGGTTCGCACCAGTTCAGGCAAACAGGTTGTTAAATTACCAGGGGGGAGGGGCATCAAAGTTGGTGCTGTGCTGCAACAGAGAAATAGGCAACAGAGCTGCCAGCGTGAGGGAGGAAGCCACTTCCCCTCTTTCTTCTCCCTGCCCTCATCCCCATGTGCCAGATGCTCCGTTTCCATTGCAGCGCAGCACCCAGGAACCACTTTGATAGCAGGTGGGGGTAATTTTACAACCAGTTCACCCAGGGTCAGTTTGGCCATCATGGGAGGCTCGTCCCACATTTGCAGTGGAGCTGGAGGATGGGGATGGACCATGCCTCCAATGACAGCCACTCTGACCCTGAGGGAACTAGTTGTTGAATTATCTGAATCCCACCACTGGATTGAGAATGATATAATGTGTTAATGTCTTTAAATGGTTTGTGGGACATCATCCCTCCAGGGCAAGCAGAACATCCAGAGGAGTCTAGGGTTTTTGATTTCCATTTCTGATAGGGCCAAGGGAAATATAAACTTTGTCAGTGGCAAAAATACAAAATAGTAATATTCTTATAGCACCTGAAAAATTCCCAAAGGTATTCAGTCAAAATCCCCAGGCTTTTGGGTGGGATAGGTTCAAATCCTTGGATGAAGGAAATTATAAAAAGCAAGAACTTCTACCACTTAATGTGGTTTAATAAATTTCTATAACTATCCTTGGAAACCCATTAGTGACCAAAGTCAGGAACCTCATTAAAGAGAACAAGAGAACTTAGTTTAAAAAAGTAAAAATAAAACAGGTGGCAGCATAAATATAATTTAAACAAAGAACACTTTTTTAAAAAATTAAAAGCATAAGAAGTATTGACTTAAAAAAAAAAAGATTTAAATACAGACAGAACAGGAAACCAAATAAAAACATGGTTAAGTAACAAGAGAAAAGACTCTTTTGTGAAAGTCTTTACCACAATAGAATCCTTAGTCTTTATAACTCTACAGCAGGGTTGATTTCATTGCAACCCAAACATGTTTCTCTTCATCTCAGCCTCCTTAAGAAAGATTTTTCAAGAATTTTGCAGTAAAGTAACTCAATTATTCCTCAGTAACTTTTGGGAATTCTTTTGCATGGTCAACTGAAGTTTCATTGATTTCACTTGGTTTGTTCCAAGTGGTTTTCTTTAGATCCCCTCCATGCAGAGATCACATTTGTCACAGCATTCTGGATCATAAAATATTATTGCAACATTTCAAAAAAGACAACCAAAACAATCAAGGAAACAAGCATGTTGTAATTTTAATAAGTCCTCATAACTACAATTCTACACATAGCTGCTTGGGAGTTAACTCCACTGTTCTCCATAATGTCTACTTTGAATAATATTGTTTCAACTTACATAGAACCATATAAATAAATGGGATGTAATAATTTGAATGAATCTATTCTTAGGGCACTACCAGAAACGACATATCCAATTTAAAGCACCTGCTGATCATTTGATAGCTCTGCTGAGCTTTTGGTCAAAAATGTTGCCATTGCAGCAAAAAAAAACAAAACAAAAAGAAAGCCAGAATCCAGAATAGTAGAAAAAAACCCACTAACTAACCACTAACGGGCTGTAGATTGCCAAAGCAGATTTGAAGCCACATCTCATTATGCTTTCTGTTCTGATCATAAATCTGGGTACAACTTACTGAGCTTTATTCTTTGTTTAACTGAAAAATTGTTCAGCTGAAATCATTGGCTTTTAATTAGAAATGCAAGCGGTGTTGCGTTGAAATGGTTTACTGTTTAAAAAGCTGACAAAGAAAATGAAATATGTATCCAACTGTTCTTTACTTGCAGTATTGTCCCTAGTGTCATGTTTCTGAAGCAGTAACAGTAGTAAAACTGTTTTAAAACAAAAGACCTTGCTAGGGTCTTATAGAGCAAGGAGTATCTGGCAATTATCCTCTTCTCCAGCAGATGATAACACTTATCCAGTTGTTTAAAAAAAAATCCAGGAGTTGCACTTTCCTGCTTGTGTTATTTTGAATTCATTCAGAATGCATGAATGTGATATAAAATCCATATATTTATCCTTCCCTTTCTCCTCCCCACCTCTCTCAGGGAATGATGATTACGATACTGGGCTTCTATTGGGAATTGGTGTCGGAGTGGCTTTCTTATCAATTTCTGTTTTCACTTTGATTGCAATAAAATCGTGCAGGAGAAGGTACCAAACTGCTATTTTTCCCAGGTTTTGGTTAATGAAAGTTTAATTTTATTTATTAATCATATTTATGTAACCACCCAATTCTTGAGACCATCATTTGGGAATGTACAGGCCCAATACAGGTAGTCCTCAAATTATGACCATAACAAAGCCCGCCCATTACTGTTACAAATCATGATGATCATCACACAATCAACTCAACAATTCCCACCTGCTCTCCCTGATACAGATGTTAAACAGAGTATTGGGTGCCTCAGGAGTAGAAGTCCTGGGAGGTCTAGCGCAGGCCTCAGTGAGTGCAGGAGGCTTTGGGAGGCCTGAGGTTCCCAGAAGTACCTCATGCCATTCATCAGGCTCCCCTAAGGCAATTGGGCCTACTGCCCACTACACCACAGCTGTAACTTCAAAACTGGTCATAAGCAGCTTTGGAAGAGTTCATGATGGTTTCATTTGGTTGCTAAGTGACCAGTCTGAACTCAAGGACTATCTATATCCAGGGGTGGGCTTCAAAATTTTTAGCAACCAGTACTCTGCCTGGTTACTGAGTGGGCATGGCCATGGTGGGCGTGGCCTAGTCAGCCTCCTGCACCAGGGCAGAGTGTGTGTGTGTATTTGCCTTCCCCAACCCTGGAGGCTTTCCTCGAGCTTCCAGGCGGGCGAAAACGGCCTCCATGGGCTCCAGAGGCCCTCTGGAGGCTGGAAATGTCCATAAATTGTTGATACACATGAGCACTGTTAAGTTGAATGTAATTACAGACCTTTGTGTCCCAATGTGAGTGGATGTCTTCAAAGCAGCTTGCAAAACAAGTTGATATAGAAAAGCCTCCTAGCATTTCCTTTCATTCCCTTCATAATTCTCCCCATCATCTTTGAAGATTTTAAAAAAATAGATGAATGGAGAGAGAGGATTGAAAAGAGGACATTCAAGGATAAAAGTTAGTAGCAGAAGAAGTATTGGTTTAATAGTTGCTCAGTAGCTCTTTCCTGCTAACTTTCCCAACTCCGGTTTAGATCTGTGTGATGATGATCCATATTTGAAGACAATTCTACAGCCACAATAAACATTGACAATTACATCGATATTTAAAAATGCAAGTTAACATGTTGTGTTTTTGTTTCAAGGGTTAACAAAATGGTTAGTTCAGTAGCACCAAAATGGCTTTTCGAAGAATATCCTAAGATGCAAAACAGCAAAGTAATCAAATATCTCCAGGTAATTCTTCTGATTATAATGTTTTTATATTTAAGGAAACCAGGAAGTACTTAGATATCCTTCCCCCCCTTTCCTTTTTGAGTAGAACATTATATAAATCCTTCAACTTACAACCATGCATTTAACAATGATTCAAAGTTACAAAGGAAAAAGTGATTTATGGTCTGTACTCACACTTATGACCGTTGAATCACCACTACAGTCTCCTGATTGCAGTTTAGTGCTTGACAACCAGTTCACGTTTATGAGTGGTTGTAGCATCCTACGGTCACGTAATCACAATTTGGAACCCATTTTGATGATTTATAGCAAACAAAGGCAAAAAAATGCCCACTGGTAAGCAGAATTCACATCAACCATTGTACCGTATTTCCCCATGTATAAGCACCCCCTTTGTATAAGCCACCCCCCCCAATTTTTGGACTGTGAAGTTTTGAAAAAAATATTTTATTAGAGAAACAAGTTATGAAGAAAGAAAATTTACAAAGAAACAAAATTCGACGTCTAGATCTACAACTTCGGTCATGACGCCGAAAGCGGTGCGGGCGACGCTAGCAATCTACGCATCGGAACGAGAGTAGGAACGAAGCATTCAGGCCGATGCCTAGCGTATGCATTTCTATCGCGTACTCGCACTCGTAATCGTATCATCACGTACAATTTTTACAAAAAAGTATAGCATACTGCTGGAAAACCAGTTTATTCCTACTTTATTATTTTATGCATTTTTCACGTATAAAAAGTGTACCTGCTTTGTATATGCCACCCCCCTACTTTTTGGGCTTGAAAATTTTGGAAAAAAGGGGTAGCTTATACATGGGGAAATACGGTAATAATTGCCATACAATTTGGTCCAACTCAACTTATGACTGCACCAACTCCCAATTGTGATCATAAGTCAAAAGCTATCTATAGTCAGAATCCTGTGACACTGCAAGCACATCAGTAGGTGTTTGCTTCCTCCGTGTTCCAACCTTTATGATGTACCCACACGAGTGCTAGAATATTCAACACTTTCTATCTTATTTTTTCTGCTTAGGAAAATGATGATGAGACAGACAATTTTTCCGAGCCATTTTTGGATGTTGTGATAACTGAAGTTGAAGAAATATTGATGCAGAACCACTATAGGGCTGTGGAGAAAAAAAATGGAGGAAGCAAAACAGTTTCTGAGAAAGTCAGTAGCTCAGAGGATGTACCATTTGCCGGCAATTTGGATGTGACTGAGATAAGTGGGTATAAACCCCAGACTTCTAATAAGGCTCAATTGGGAACTACTTTCAGCAGCACCAGTGAAACCCCTGTTCAAAACTGGGACACCAAATCCAATTCAATAGTTTTTCCCATAAGTAATTTAAAGAAAGATTATACCAGTCCTGTGGCCTCCGCATGGCCTATTGTTGACCCCAATGAAAATAAGTCTTTATTTGATAAAATCAGCCTTATTCTCAAAAATAGTGGAAGTGGGCAGAGCAGGGCAAGCTCAAAAGATGAAAATCCAAGCACCCAAAAGGCCCACCAGTTGAAGTTTCTGCTTTCAGATGAAGATATTCAAGAACAGACTTTAATACCAGATAGTCTATTTTCTTGCTTAAAAACAATAAGTGAAGACCGGACCAACATGTCTTATTTCCCTCAAAACGCTGTTTGCTATGAGGATTGAAGTAAAAGAAAAAGAACACATGTTTTGCACGAACACAAACTCTGCATTTTCAAGAAGCGTAACTTAAGGTTCTCCATTCATTGTTTGAACAAAATTGAAAAAAGTAAGTCACAGCCACAATCTCAGTTTTCATCTCTCAGATTAATTCATGTTAAAACATATAAAGAACATTTGCTGGGATTGGGTATGTCTAGATTAATGAAAAGGAGGACTAGTGGTGACATGATAGCTGTGTTCCAATATCTCAGGGACTGCCACAAGAAAAGGGAGTCAAGCTATTTTCCAAAGCACCTGAGGGTAGGACAAGAAGCAATGAGTGAAACTAATCAAGGAGAGAAGCAACCTAGAACCAAGGCGAAATTTCCTGACAGAACAATTAATCAGTGGAACGACTTGCCAGAAGTTGTAAGCGCTTCGTCACTAGAGGCTTTTAAGAAGAGATTGGACAACCCATTTGTTTGAAATAATATAGGGAAACGGTCTTCAAACTTGGCACATTTAAGACTTGTGGACTGCAACTCCCAGAATTCCTGAGCTAACATGACTGGAGGAGGAATTCTGGGAATTGAAGTCCACAAGTCTTAAAGCTGTCAAGTTTGAAGACCCCTGATATAGGGTTTCCTGCCTGAGCAGTGGGTTGGACTAGAAGACCTCCAAGGTCCTTTCCAACTCTGTTATTCTATTTCTAACTTCTAATTCTAATGTTAATACTGTAATTAATGTGTACATTGAATTAGGGGAGATCTGAAAATCAACTGAATAATCTTCTCAGAAGGTAGAATGATTTATGATGAAGTTACTTTACAATTCAAGACTATGAAGTGAAACCGCAGTCTATGAAGCCTAACTTCTTACACCACAAGGAAGTATACAACTGAACCATAGCTACAGGATGCACGTACAAGATATACCTCAGGGCCACAATCAGTATAAAGGAAGGGGGGGAAAACCCAGTTCTGAGGATCAGCCAGAAAAATCTGACTAAATCCAGATATGTTATGTCAGCAGTCTGACATACAGTACCTTCTTCGCCCTGAAATCAGGGGTGGAATTCTACCAGTTTGCACCTATTCACTAGAACCAGTTGTTAACATTCTAAGCAGTTCAGAGAACCGGTTGTTAGAAGAAATTATTGGCCTAATCCTGTAAGGAAGGCAGGAAGGAAGCATTCTGGTGTTGCTTACAGAAACTGCCTCTCCATTAACCCTTATTACATTCTTGGCAGGACTAGACTTCCTGTCTCAGGAACTTCTCTGGAATTTATTTCCCCTCCTTTGCTGGTACTTTGCTTGGGTAGAGTGACCGTTCAAAGTTACAATGGCACTGAAAAAAGTGACTTATGACTGTTTTTCACACTTACAACTGTTGCAGCATCCCCACGGTCACGAGAGGCCAGGCGAGGAGATGCGTGCCTCAATGTGAATGATATTGAGTTGGCCACACCCAGCCAATAATATGATCACCAAGCCATGTCCACCCAGTCACATGACCACCAAGCCATGCCCACCACCTAAGCCACGTCCACAGAACCGGTTGTTAAAAAATTTGAATCCCACCCCTGCCTGAAATCATCAAAGACCATGCCAAATATTTATCATTTTTAATGGGTGGCAGGATGGCTCCTCAAGGGCCAAAGAAGTTATTTATCACTATTGACTATGATGTTTCATTACCCAGCTAGGTAACATCATCAGTTCTGAGAGAGCACCTATAACTCCACAGTTCAACCCTGAGCTACAGATATTCTCTGTTACTGGAATATTCACTCGCAATGGGAAATAAACTGTTTATTCTCATCATAAGGACTCTGCTCAAACTGAGCTGCATCTTGCTAAGGCAAACCAAGGAGTCAAGTTTAGCCTTGAAGTTTCAGGAGATGACACATGTTGCTCCTCTGGGCCAATCTGGCCTTGCTTGAACAGCTACTGAGGACTGCTTAAGTGGCTATTTCTTCACTGTGGATGAAAGAGCAAACTGCTCTTATTATTATCCTAGGAATTCCCCTGACCTCAATGACATGGATCCCTCACTTCCAACCAACACTGCACTCCCTCAAAGAAGGAGGAGGTGCAAAGTATTTCTAGTATCCAACCATTAAGAAACCATGTTTGCACCATGCCATAGAAATCTACAGTATGACCGTATGTGAAATAGAGCAGGGGTCTCCAACCTTGGCAACTTTAAGACTTGTGGACTTCAACTCCCAGAATTCCTCAGCCAGCTTTGGAATAAAGACCCCTGGAATACAGTATGTAATTCTGGCTGCCCAATTGCAAACATTGTAATAATAATAATAATAATAATAATAATAATAATAATAATAATAATAATAAT